ATCTAGTAGTGAGACCCTGAACACCCTGTAGACCCTTCCCTAAAATACAAAAAAAAAAAAAAAGCAGCATCACAGCACATCCTCAGCCCCCTTACTCCCCAGGTCTGGCCCATGTGACTTCTGGTTGTCCCCAAAGTCAAACTGACAGTAAATGTTTTGAATCAACTCAAGGCCTTGAGGTAGCCACAACAGCAAAACTAAGAACACCCAGGAAAGAGGACTTCCGGAACTGCTTCAGAAAGTGGCAAGGTCGGTGGGCTAAGTGTATTCAGCTGAAGGGGAGGAACGGAAGAGGGGTGTGTGGGGGAATGTGTGCTTTACTGTTTTTTTGTTGTTGTTGTTTTGGTTTGGTTTGGTTTGGTTTGGCTTTTTTGGCAGAACTGGGGATTGAACTCAGACCCTTGCGCTTGCCAGGGAAGCGCTTATCCTACTGAGCCATCTCCTCGGCCCTACTGTTTTATTTTTTGAACACTCAATGGAATGTGTGCTTTGTGACCTTGCCTATAGTTCTGCTTCTCCGCCCAGGCTGTATATTCCAGGACAGCAGGAACCTGGTCTCTGCCTATCGCACAGTAGGTGCACAACAAATACTGGTGAAGTAGAAGAGAACTTGCGTTGCACACAGGCCGTCGGCTGCCTCTGGCTTCCACTGCCCCCACTGTGCAGAGCCCGGGTGTCCCCCGCCTTGCACACCTGTGTGTCTGCTTTGCCCTCTGATGCACCTAGCGGGAACTTGAGCTTCCCTTCTCTCACCCTCAGTCACCTGCCAGACTGCCTGAAGCAGAAGAGAAATGACAGCCGCTGCCCCCGCCCCCACCTCTGATCTGGCAGGAAGCGCTCCATGTCTGCACAGACCCAGAGGTGGCTGTCTCGCCTCCCTGAGTGAAAACCACTGCAGGATCCACCTCCCTTTCCTTCTGGCAACACCGACACAGGTTCTGGCTCCTTCCCCCAAGACCAGGCCTTTGCTGGAGGTGGTCTTGCTGGTGGCATCCCCTGGCCGCCCCTGCCCACCTGCCTCCCTCCACACTCACTCCTGCACTACCTGTGATTTGGTCCCTGGCCACAGAACTCCAGCCAGAGCCCAATCCCCAAGGGCCTCTCTCTTGAATAGCCCTGGACCCCAACTTGCAGCACCTCACCCACTCCTGACCGCATGTCTCCATCCATCCTCCTCCAGTGACTCCAACGCAGGCTCTAGGCCTCCCCACACCCCCATCCACACCCTCACCCCGGCACCCTCTGCCAAAAAAAACCATTTATTCCAACATGGGAGCTCATGAGGCGCTCCTTCATCGCTCCTCAGCACACAGGGCAGGGCACTGTGACCCTGGTGGTCACAAAGCTGGGTGGGTGCACTATGCCTCCCCTTCAGACCAGGACCCCCTAGGAAGGACCACAGCATGCCTGCTGCTGGAGCTGAGCCCCCTCCTTCATACTAGATGTTCCCTAAGGTCATGTTGATGGCATTTCCCCCCTCAGACTGAGCAGGCCCCCCCATCACACCAGCGGGCCCCTGGGTGAGTCATCCTTCTTGTGACCAGGCCATAGGTTCTTCCTGGGACAGTCTTCACTCTGGGGCCCCTACCCAGCACCTGGCTGGACTGGGCTCCCGAACTGAGCGAATCAATGAGTGAAATTGCAAAAGAGCACGGACAGTGGCCGGCAGCCTAGCTTGAACGAGGGATCTCGCCTGAGTCCAAGCAACACTGGAAGGCTTGGCGATGCTTCCAGGCGGCGTACCCAGAGAGGAGAGGTTTCCAGCCTTTCCTCACCTCCAGGCGGTCACCTAGAGGCCTGGGAGGGCACACAACACAGGCGTGCGTGCACACATGCACACACACACACACACACCCCTGCCAGAGAAGGGCTTGGAGAAGGACCCTCAAGACCAGAGGCCAATGCCCCTGTCCAGTCCAGAACCAAGACAGGGCGGGCAGCATGAAGTACGCATGTGTGAGAGGGTCCTGTGCCCTGCTGCTTCGGCCCCAGCCATTCCGGATCCCAGAACCGGTCCCCAGACCTGGTGCAGCCACCACCAACATCCTGCTTCCAAAATGAGAGGGGGCAGGGCTACAGCGGGGCCTAGGCTCATCACGAGACGGAAGGCAATCGGAGGCCAGCCAGCACCCCCAGCCCTGTGCCGGCCTCCGGGCAGCTTGGGTGTCGGCCAGGCGCCAGGCCCAGCCCTGGCCTCCTCTGCCTCATAATCCCAGTCTTTGTCTGCCTGGTGGCCCGGCCAGGCTGGCTCCACACGGGCCAAAGGGCCTGGAAACCGGAGCAGCTGGAGCACAACCAAGTATTTTTCCAAGCTGGGCCCAGGGCCCTCGGGAGACGGAAGAGCCAGGCAGGGAGAGGTGTCCATTCATCCGCTGTGTATCCATTCTTTCCCTGGATGAGTAACATTTATTGCGCGCCGGACGGGTGGCAGTCCCTGCCCAGGAAGGTGCGGGGTCGGCACAACCCGCGCCCCGCAGCGCGCATTCTACAAGCTGTGCCCGTGCGCACGACGCACGCGCGGCACCGGAGCGGGCAAGGCAAGGGTGCTACCAACTACGCTAAGGCCTGTCCACCGCGGCCGGGGAGGTGACAGCGGGCTGCTCAGGGCTCCACCCACACTCCACTGTTGGTCACTCGGGCCCCGAACCAGCCCTTCCAGTAGACGGAGTCCTGCCCGCCGTGCTCAAAGCGAACGAAGCGCACGCCTGGCCCGTAGTCGGTGAAGGTGTGGGAGATCTGGGGAGCGGAGGGGGAACGCGTCAGCCTCAGGGGACTTGAGGCTTCCTTTGCTAGCCCTCTCGGGCGCAGAGACCAGCCTCCAGCTCGTGTTCGGATTCGCGCAGTACACTTTCCCAGCCGCCGCCCCCCCCACCCCCTCACCCCCCAACCCCCGTCACCCAGTCTCCATGCACCCCGCACCCCCTGCTCCTTAGGCCCTGCCCCCAGGCTCACTTCGGTCCAGCCGCCTTCTTCGCTGTCCGGGGACACTGCCACCTGCCCGGTATTGAACTCAGCCAGCACATCCTCGTGCTCCGACAGCAGCTTCACGCTGAGCTCGTACAAACAGCCGGCGTCAGAGCGACCCGAATACCTGCCAGAGAGAGGCGTGCTGGGACCTCGCTTCTGCCTAAGCCCCCACCAGAACTATCCCTGTTCCCATTTCACAGATGAGAATGGTGAGGCCAAGGACAGTAAAGCTCAGGTCGACCAGACTCAACTTTGGAACCGAAGCCACCACACAGGCAGGGGTTTTGTGGTTTTGTTTCAGTGCTGGGTGGACCCAGGGCCTACTCGGAGCTACTTCCTCAGCCTCTTCTTTATTATTTTCAGACAGGGCCTCACTAAGTCGCTCTGTTGCCCAGTCATTAAGTTACAATCCCCCTGCCTCAGCCTCCCAGAGTGCTGGGATGACAGGCGTGCACAGCCACGCGTGGTCACGGGCAGGTTTGTGCAGCACGGTGCTCGTGCACACCTTCAAACTCGGGAGAGCAGACCGGTGGACACCCGGAAGCCGCCAGGCTCTGGTGACACAGTGCTAAAGGGTCCCTGCTGCCCCCAGCTGGTGCCAGCCCTCACCAGTCCTTCGCCACAATGGCCGGCTGGGTGGTGTCCAGCAGCTCCTCCCAGTAGCCCTCAGCCTGCAGGTCAATGACCTGAGCCTTGCGACACCACCTGGCAGAAGAGAGTTGGGAAGGGCTGCGCCCTCGGGCCCTCCCGCCCCGGCCTCCCTCCCGCCCCGGCCTTCCTCCCGCTCCGGCCTTCCTCCCTCCCCGGCCTTCCTCCCTCCCCGGCCTTCCTCCCTCCCCGGCCTTCCTCCCACCCCGGCCTCCCTCCCTCCCCTGCCTTCCTCCCTCCC